CTGTACCTCTGAAACAAGATAGTAGGAAGGGAAAAATGAATGGGGGGAGATCAGAGGGGGAGATGAACCATGAGAGACTAATGGACTCTGAGAAACAAACTGAGGGTTCTTGGCGGGGGGGAATGGGTTAGCCTGGTGATGGGTATTAAAGAGGGCATGTATTGAATGGAGAACTGGGTGTTATATACAAACAATGAATCATGGAACACTACATCAAAAACTAATGATGTAATGTATGGTGATTAACATAATAAAATAAAATTAAAAGAAAAAGAATTTCTCTCTCAGTTCATCCACTCTTCTCTCAAGTTTTATGTGAATCTTTGTGACCATAATTTTGAATTCTTCATTAGGTAGATTGCTTTTCACCATTTTGCTCAAATCTTTTTCTATGCTTTTGTCTTATTCTTTCATTTGGAGCACAATTCTCTTTTTCCTCATTTTGTCTGACTCTCTGTGTTTGTCCCTCTGTGTTATGGAGGTTAGCTATGTTCCCTAGACTTGAAAGTAGTGGTGTTGTATAGAAGACATCTTTTAGGACTTAGCACTCAGTCTCCTCTAGTCACCAGAACAAGGCACTCTAGGGCTGCCTCCTATATGTGCATGAGTATGCTACTGTTTTTAAGGGGCAGTGACTCCTTTGGTGTGTACTCTGGTCCCAAGCATTCCTGGCTGCAGTGACAAGGTGTTACTACTGTAGTGCACAGGTGAGGTCTGGCCTCTGGCATGGTTGACTGAGAGGCCTGGCTATAGTTACTGTAGGCTTGCAGGTAGATGGGGTTGGATCCTGGCACAGCTGGTTGACAGGCTGAGCTGTACCTATGGTGGGCATACAGGTGCATAGAGTTGCCCCTCACCCCCACTTCTTGGAGCAGTAGTTGCTCCAAGGGCTACTATTTTGACTGGAGCTCCCCACCAAGTGTGGCTGACTACGTTAGAGAAACACCTCACGTGGGGCATGTTAGGTGGGACAGATTTGCTTTGGAATGCCATGGCAGGATGAAAATTGTTAGCAACATAGAGAGTGTCAAAACTGCCTTCCACCAGCTAGGCTAAAGGAATCAGAAAAATGGCACTCACCAGCACTTCTATTTCTGGATAAAGCTCCTACAGATCCCCGCCCTATTGATGCATGCCCTAAAATTAGTTAATAATTCCCTTTCACATATAAATCTGGCACTTTTCAAGCTACTGCCTCTGTGCTTGGTCTTGGACTGACTGAATATAGTGCTCTGGCCCTTTAAGAGTGGAGTCCCAATTTTCTATAGCCTTTTGGCTCTTCTGAAGTTAGACCTCCTGATTTTGAAGGCTCCCAAAGTTAAGTCCTGCTGTTTTTCAAAGATAGATGTTATAAAGGATTTTCTTTTCTGTTTAAATCTCTAGAGTTGCAGATGCCCAGTGTGGGGCTTAATTCCATTGCTCTTCATGGAGGACCTCCCTTCCTGTAATATCCGTCTCTCTTGTGGATCCTCATGCTGGGGGTCTTGTTCCCAACCAGGTCTCTGCCCCTCCCCTTCTTCATCATTAAAAACATATTTGCTGTAGAAGAGCTGTTCTGCTAGTGTTCAGGTTGTTTTCACAGTAAGCTCTATTATATGTAATTGTAATTTCAGTATGTCCATGAGAGGAGGTGAGCTCAGGATTTTCCTAATCTACTCTTTTCCCACAATTTCACTGTAGTTTGGATTTGCATTTCCCTACTAACTATTAATACTGAATTATATTTTTATTGGCTACTTGCATATCTTCTTTAAATAAATGTCTATTCAGGTTCTTTGCCCACTCTTAAAAAGATTTACTTATTTATTTTTAGAGAGAGAGAGCAGGGGGAGGGGCAGAGGGAGAGGGAGTCCTCACTAAGCATGGAACCCAACTCACGGCTCAACGTAGGGCTGATCTCAAGACCCTGAGGTCATGACCTGAGCTGAAACCAAGAGTCAGATGCTCAGCCGACTGAGCCACCCAGGCACCCCAAGTCCTTGGCCCATTTTTGAATCAGATTGTTTGTTTTTCTGTTGTTGAACTTTAACAGTTCTTTGTATACTCTGGTCATTAATCCCTTTTCAGATATGATTTAAAAATACATTCTCCTATTTTGTGTTTTGTCTTTTCACCCTGTTGATAATATCTTTTGATGCACAATTTTTAAATTTTCATGAAGTCCAGTTTGTCTGTTTTTCCTTTGGTTGCCTGCTTTGGTTTCATATACAAGAAATAACTGCCAAATCTAATGTAAAATTTTGCCCTATGTATTTTTCTAAGAGTTTTATAGTTTTAGGTCTTACATTGAAGACATGGATCCATTTTGTGTTAAATTTTGTATATGGTGTTAGGTAAGAGTCCAGTTTCACTCCTTTGCATGTGGATATCCAGTTTTCTCAGCAGAATTCATTGAAAAGACTGTCTTTTCCCAATTGAATAAATGGCTTGGCACATTTGGAAATCTTTTGATCATATAAGAAAGAGTTTATTTCTGGGCTCTCTATTTATTCTATTCCATCAGTCTATATGTCTGTCTTTATACCAGTACATTTTGATTACTGTGTCTTTGTAATAAGTTTGAAATTAGAAAGTATGAGTCCTCCAGTTTTGTTCTTTTTTTTTTTTAAGGATTATTATGTTTATTTGGCATCTTAGAAATTCCAGTAAATTTTAGGGTCAGGGTTTCTATTTCTGCAAGAATATCATCATGCAGATTTTGGTATGGATTGCATTAAATCTGTAGATCATTTTGAGTACTACTGACAATTTAAGAGTAACAAATTTTCCACTCCATGAACATGAACGGCTTTCCATTTATGTATTTTTAAATTTCTTTCAGAACTATTTCATAGTTTTTATTGTACAAAGCTTTTACCTCTTTGGTTAAATTAATTCCTAAGTTTTGTTTGTTTGTTTGTTTTTGTATAGCACTGTAATCAGAACTATTTTAATTTCATTTTCAAATTAATCTCTAATATTGTATAGAAATCAATTAATTTTAAGTGATAAATTTGAATCCTGCTACTTCACTGAATTTAAGTTCTAACAGTTTTTGTGTGTGTGTGTGTGTATTGTGATCCTTAGGGGTTTTATATATTAGATCAGACCATCTGGGGGCAGAAATAATTTTACTTGTTACTTTCCAATTTTGATGCATTTTGTTTCTTTTACTCACTTAATTGCTAGGCCAGGACTTCTAGTAGTATGTTGAATAAAAGTGCTGTAAGCAGACATTCTTGCCTTGTTCTTCATCTTGGAGGGAAAACTGCTAGTGTTTCAGCATTGAGTATAATGTTTGATGTGGGGTTTTCATTAAAATTTTTATAATGTAATGTTCTCTACTCCTAGTTTGTTGACTGTTTTTATTATTAAGGAGTATTGAATTTTGTCAAATGTTTTTGCAAAATTTAAAATAATTATGCTTCCTCCTTTCCCCACCCTTTCGATGTCAATATGGCAAATTACGTTGATAGATTTTCTTATGTTGAATCATGGTTGAATAAATCCCTTGTCATGGTATATGCACCCTATAGTATACTGCTTAATTCAGTTTGCTAGAATTTTGTTGTGGATTTTTGCTTCAATGTTTATAGAGATTGATCTGTAGTTTTCTTGTGGTGTTTTTATCTGCCTTTGGTATTAGGGAAATAATGCTAGTCTCACAGAATGAATTAGGACGTGTCCCCTCCCAGTCAATTTTTTGAAAAAGTTTGAGAAGGATTGGTATTAATTTTTAAAATGTTTCGTAGAATTCACCAGTGAAGCCATCAGGTCCAGTGCTTTTCTTTGTTGGGATATTGTTGATTACTGATTCAATCTCCTTAATAATTATATAATTGTATACCTTAGGTTTTTTGTTGAAAATTGTATATTTTAATCTAACAATGTGGTAACTTCAGAAATCAGATTCTCCTTCCTTAAGCTTCACTATATTTTTGTAGTTTTTTTTCATTGCTTTTGATTGTTGCAGAATATCTGTGCTGAGGATCATCCTGAGATATAAATTTAAAGTCTTCTCGTCTTTTCTGATCCTGTGCCTTCCCCTGAGAATGTGGAGTTACTTTCTACTTTCTCTCACATACATGGTTGCTTTTGAATGCTGTAGTCCTCAATGTCTTGCTCCCAATAAAGAAAAAAGAAAAATAAAGGAGGGCGAAGATAAGTATTGGCCCTCTAAATTCCCTGGAAGTCATTTCAGCCAGAGTGGGAAGGGCTCAGAAAAATGAGAAGAGGAACAGTAGCTGCCTAACCCTGCAATCAAAAGGAGCAATCCATAATTAGAGCATAAATGCCTGATATTTGTACAGTAGGATACTTTTTGCCCACCCTAGTTCTACCAGCTGTATACAAGCTGCTCAAAGTCTGCAGGGGTGGAAGGTATGGTATCGGCAGATGTTAATGTTGAGGTCTAAAAGTGAATAAAATTAATCATCCAAGACTCTCCCTCGTGGTTGTAAGTCTTAAATAGCGCCTGGAGTTCTCAAATAGTTGTATCAGACAGATCCTGCCAATAGAATCATTGTCTGCATGGGAAGACAGTTTCCCGGCATTTCATATTTAACCATCTTTCAATAATCCTTACTGCACTATAGTTTTTAAGAAATGCCATGAAGTGTTTGCATTTTAAATACACTTTTTTAAATTTTCAACTTTAATTTTTTTATTTAAGTTAATCTCTATGGTGTTTGAACTCACAGCCATAAGATCAAGAGTCATCTGCTCTACTGACTGAGCCAGGCACTACTCAAATACACTTTAAAAGGTAACTAATACTTACACCTCGCTGAACAAGGCATGGTCACTGGTGTTGGTGGAGAAGTGTTGTTCAAGAATTGCCACAGTGCCTGCAAGGGCCACATGCCCACAGCCACAGAACAAGGTGACCCCAGAGAAGCAGAGGATGGTGGCCACAAGAGAGGCATAGGGGACTCCTCCCAGACACTTGATGCAGCATTCAAAGCAGCCTGGATGCAAAGGAGAGAAAATGCAGTGGTTATGGGCAAATCATCTCTGTCTTCATCAACAGCACACCTTCACAGAGAGGACTCTCCCTTGCCATGTCCCCTCTCATGCTCTGTGGTTAACAGCTCAACATGCCAAGGGCCAGTTTTGTGCAGTTGCCCTCATCTCACATTCTGTGGGGAGGACCCTGAGACTCCAAGAGGGAATGTAACTTAATTTACTTGGGATTAGTAGTAGAGCGACCAACTGACAAATAATTAATGGAGAAAGTCACAATTCTACAGTTTCCTCATTGACCTGGAGCTGTAGTATTGGGCTGCTTGAATGACAATGAGGAGAAATCATTCCACTAACAAAGTCAAGAGAGAGGACAGCAGTGAAGCCGCAGTTCCATGAAGAATAGTGACTCCCCCAACTTAACCCTGGGGGGTTTCAAGTACCTCTATTTCTGTATCAGCCCATAGCTTTCTCCCAGTCTCGACCTCCTGGGCAACCAGAAGAAGCAGATATAGTAATTACACTGTTGCTGGGTTCAGAAAATATCAACAGGGTCATTTTGGAAAGGTGATGGGTATTTTGGTCCCTACAAGTACAAATTCATCAACCTCCACTCGGGTGGGTCCACTCAACATCAACATTTCATTCATGTCAACATCAAATTCCCTCAACTTTTTAATAAAAATATCTCTCCAGCCCAGCCAACACCAGCAGTTTATCCCCCATCCTCATTCTCACTGATTTCTACCTGCCTTCTTCTCTGATATATGTGTTCAGAGTAAGAACCCAGAACCAGGGAATGACCTCTAAATACTTGAAGGAAAAGGAACAGAAGAAAAACAAAAGACAAAATGAACATCAATGAAGTGAAATGAAAAAGTTGAAACTCAAGCTGAATCTTGATTAATTAAAAACAGGCTTAATCATTTTTAAAATAAACCATTTACTTAAGATGTACATAAACCTCTCTCAAAAGGGCAGAGCCAGGTGATATTTTCAGTTCAGAGACATTTATTTTTCAGTTGAAGTGGCACTGGCCTTGGGGCAATGTCAGTACCTCTTCTGACTTCCCATCCCTTGTTTGTATTATCCAGACCTTTAAATGGTTGTCAGGGAAGTAGAACTCTGAATGCATTATGATATTTAACTGCAATTGAGATAAGTTCATTACCTCAAGGCAAGCACATTAAGCCAGCTAAATTTATTTTCCCCAGTAGACACGGAATAACTACCCAGCATAAAGGTTTGGAGATAGTCTTTTCTATTTTGATGAGCATCCCATGCAAAAGTAGTATTTGCTAAAACCCACTGCAAGAGGTGACTATAAACCCTCATTACCAGATTTATCTTCAGTTCACTGGAAATAAAAAAGGTCAAGCCTTCATAAAAAAGTGTGATTTCTTTTATTTCAAAAGATAGTTGGCTGTTGTCATGAAGACCAACCTCCCTAAAATGGACTTATGAGACTACATACAATGGGAACCAGCAATACACAATTCAATTCAATATAATACAATCCAATTTCACCAGCAAGTCAGTACCTTCAAGACTTTTGGATACTAGAGATTTGGCAGCAAGGTTGATGGAATTACATCTTATTCTGTCATACAACTTTCTTGGAAAGGTGAAGGGAGGTGAGGGGAGAAGGCAACTGAAAGTCCAAATTCTCTCCAGACTCCCAAAGCAAGAAAAACTACAACCCTCATCCTCCTGTCCCACTACATAAAGTGCAAGTAGACCTGTTGGTATGGTGTCATTCACCCCCTCCCCCATTCTCTCCATTTAGGATGGTGTGAAGAAATAGATAATGCCTGCTTCCCTAGCTAATGAAGTTACAGCTGGTCTTCATTGGACACAGATGTGTGGCCTTGGGACTGTGCTGTCCAATATAATAAGCACTAGCACATGCAGCTATTTAAATTATTTAAAATAAAATTAAAAAAAATCAATTTAGTTGTGCTGGTCACATTTCACATGGACAATATCAGAGAACATTCCATGTCTGCCAAACAGTACTTTGGAAGTCACATTTTTGACTTGTAACATAATTCAATTTTCTATAATATGAGTTAAATAATAACTGGGTTTTCTTTTGAATTTCATTAACTCAGCACTTTTTATAGAATTGGTGGGTGCTCACCACTGTACTTATGAAATAAGACATCTTTGTGTTGAAGGAGATCAGTTTAACACTGGAGGCAGACAAACAACAATTATTATGGTAGTGTGATGAGGGCCAAAATATAGACTGCTGGAGAGTCAGTGATGATGAGCAGGGAGGGAAGAAGATGGGAGATGATAATTTATACTGGAAAGGGGTCAGGAAGTATTTTGTACGGAAAGATCTAGTATGCAAGATATACACACAGCTGGCATTGATATATAATCTGATAAAATGCTCATTTCTTCCTGCATATGTTTGTTGCACACATATTTTAATAAGCCCACATTCTTCCTCGTCGTGATGAGTTAGGGTGAGGTGGGTTGACATGGCATGCTTGCCCTTTAACAATAGAACTCAGCCTTCCAAATGCACAGCTGCTACTTCAAAACAGTCTTTCACCCAAAGATTTAGAGCAAAGATCGCAGCTGCTTCCTGGCTCAGAAAGACAAGTGGGGTTAGAAGAATGATGCCATTCACTCCCAGATTTATCACCAGAGGAAGGCTCAAGTTTCTCTCTGATTTCTCTCTCTGAAGGACTCCAGATACTCCATGCCATGGGTCTACGTTTAAGCAGGGAAAACAAAGGACTGGAGAATTTGGGGGATCTCTTCTAAGACTCCTACCGTCTCAGCTGATGCAAAATACTTCCAATGCTCTTACATGTTAAGTAGATGATTTTATTTATGACTATAGGAATTCTGGCCCCTCAGAAGAAAAGTCAGTACATTGATCATCTTATTGCACAAATACAGATAAAATGTTCATGGATCCCGACTGTAAATATGACAAGAAGCTTGTGTTATACATAAAGGGAAAATATATGAAATAATATAGCAAAATGCAGAGCTTATTTTTTAAAATTTATTTTATTATGTTATGTTAGTCACCATACATAATATAATTAGCTTTTGATGTAGCGATCCATGATTCATTGTTTGCGTATAACACCCAGTGCTCCAATCAATAAGTGCCCTCCTTAATACCCATCACAGGGCTAGCCCATCCCCCCACCCCCTCCCCTCTAAAACCCTCAGTTTGTTTCTCAGAGTCCATAGTCTCTCATGGTTCATCTCCCCCTCCTATCTCCCCCCTTCATTTTTCCTTTCCTACTATCTTGTTTCAGAGGTACAGGTCTGTGATTCATCAGTCTTACACAATTCACAGTGCTCACCATAGCACATACCCTCCCCAATGTCTATCACCCAGCCTCCCCATCCCTCCCGCCACCCACCACTCCAGCAACCCTCAGTTTGTTTCCTGAGATTAAGAATTCCTCATATCAGTGAGATCATATGATACCTGTCTTCCTCTGATTGACTTATTTCGCTTAGCATAATACCCTCTAGTTCCATCCACATCATTGCAAATAGCAAGATTTTGGGTTTTTTTTTTGATGGCTGCATAATATTCCATTGTATATATATATACTACATCTTCTTTATCCATTCATCTGTTGATGGACATCTTGGCTCTTTCCATAGTTTTGCTATTGTGGACATTGCTGCTATAAACATTGGGGTGCAAGTACCCCTTTAGGGCACTACATTTGTATCTTTGGGGTAAATACCCAGTAGTGGAATTCCTGGGTCATAGAATAGCTCTATTTTCAACTTTTTGAGGAATCTCCATACTGTTTTCCAGAGTGGCTGCACCAGCTTGCATTCCCACCGACAGTCCTCGCCAACATCTGTCATTTCCTGACTTGTTAATTTTAGCCATTCTGACGGGTGTGAGGTGATATCTCATTGTATTCCT